AAACCATTTCAGGTGACTACCTCTTGAAGCTCATGGAGAGAATGCCAAGAGTGTGCAAAGCAGTAATCAGAGCAAAGGGTGGCTATTTTGAAGAAACTAGAATATAAAACATGTTTTCAGTTATTTCACCTTTTTTTGTTAAGTACATAACTCCACATGTGTTCATTCATAGTTTTGATGCCTTCAGTGAGAATCTACAATGTAAATAGTCATGAAAATAAAGAAAACGCATTGAATGAGAAGGTGTGTCCAAACTTTTGGCTTGTACTGTATATATATATACACACACACACACACACACACACACACACATATATGTGGATACTTAGTGAGATTCATTGCAGGAGTGGTCAACAGTACAGCTGAAGTAAAATCAAAAAATGTTAAAATTCAGCTCATTGTCAATGCAGCACACTCACAAACAGACTCAAATGGGAAAGTAGTTGAAGAATTAATGGATGAAAGGAATTTGGTGTGTATGAATGATGGGAGAGGAACCAGGGTATACATAACTGCAGGTACTGAGTCTGAGCATTAGACATTACTTTAGTGTCTAGTCCCATGGCTGGAGTTAGTAAGTGGGTAGTTTGGACAGAGTCAACTGTAGGTAGTGATCACTACCCAGTGTCATGCTTGGTAGGAGACAGAGTGGAAGCAAATGCAAATGTACAAATCTCAAAGTGGGTTTTGTAAAGGCAAAATGGGATTCGTTCCAGGAGTTAAGTGAAGAAACAATGACAAGAATTGCCTTTTCTGTAGATATAGAGGAAATAAACAATCAGGTAACCTCAGGAATTATTAGGGCAGCAGAGGGAGCTATTCCCAGGAGTAAAAATAAGATGAATAGGAAACTAGTACCATGGTGGACAGAGGAATGTCGTCAGGCTGTTAGAAATAGAAACAGAGCATTTAAACAACTTAAAAGAACTCATAACATGCAACATTTAATCCAGTATAAGTGGGCACAGGCAGTAGTGAGAAGAACAATATGCCAGGCTATTTCAGGCACAGGCACTGAGAGTTTGCAGTGGGGCTTTTAAAACATCACCAGTACCTGCTTTACAGGTAGAGATGGTAGAGATGCCACTGGGATTGAGAAGGAAGCAACCGATGGTGAGTTACTGGGCAAATTTGCAGGGACACAATGATTCTCACCCGACAAAAGAAGTTCTGCAGGAGTGCTGGGAGAATGGGAAGAATCAGAGGGAAAATTTTGGGCGGGTAGGAAATGATGTGGCAATTGAACTGGGAGACTTAGGAGTGAGGATAAGCCCCACAGTAGTGTATCTGGTGATATCGCCATGGTTGCTTATATGGTCAGATGTAGACTGGTATTTGTTAGAGCTTAAAAGGAAAGAAAAAGGTAAAATAGACTTGGTTAATGCTTTTAAATGTCATGTAATGGGAAAGTATAGTGATTGTATATGGGTATGTATGGATGGAGCTAAAGAACCAGAGACAGGAGTGACAGGATTTGGGGTGGCAGTACCAGCAAAAGGAGTTGGTATTAATAGAAGAACATGTAATGTGTTAGGGGTCTACACGGTGGAAATGTTGGCTGTGTTGATTGCTTTAAGATGGGTGGAAAAATCCAGACAAGACAAGATACTGATTTGCTCAGATTCTTTCTCAGTTCTAGCAAGCTTGAGATCATTTCATTCTAACAGCCGCCAAGGCGTGTTATATAAAGTCCTTCAGTCAGTCACAAGAATAATAAATAGAGGAGGTCAGATTAAATTTATGTGGGTACCAGCGCATGTAGTGGTGAGGGGGAATGAGAGGGCAGATGAGTTGGCAAAGAGGGATTTACAGAGAGGAAGAATAGAAATGCAAGTGAGTGTCAGTAAAGCAGAGGTTAAGAGTGTATTAAGGGATACAGGTTTGTGTGTTTTTTTAATAGGATATAAAGTAGGTTAGCATAGGATGGGGGGGGGGGGGGGGGGGGGGGGGGTTTTGGTCCCCCCCACCCCAGGGGGGGGGGGGGGGGGAACACCCACAAGCGGGGGCCCCCACCCCCGAAAAACAAAAAGAAGAAGAAGAGGTGAAAGAGGTTTATCCTGGTGCCTTGTTATAGACCCTTTTGTCCCCCGTTATTCCTGCTGTTTCCGCACCTAGTTTATCTGATACCATCGGAGTGAAACACCAGTGCCCGTATGTTCGGATAAACTTGTCTATGTGGACTTTTTGTAAGTTTTCAGGACGGATCACGGCAGACTCCGTTAGCTAAATATGCTAACTGAAGCTAGCCTAGCGTGCTAGCTGGAATTAGACGGAGATAGAACTCGGTCACACAGCTCTAGTCACAGTGAGTATTCAATAGAGACCAAACTGTATTTTTTGTGGACCCACAATGTCTAGATAAACCTGTCTGAATGGAGTCTGTAGGTCCTTTCTAATTTAAAACGCCCAGATCATCCTTCGGTGTCGTACGAAGCTAATGAAGTTAGCTTGCTCTCTGGAAGTAGACGGAGGCGGCGGTATCCAGTAACACGGCACACATCAGAGTGAACAAACCGTCTTTATCGGAGTGTGCCTGGAGGAAAGGTTGCTGTGATTTACTAAAAATGTCTAAAGTTCAAATGCTGAGAGCTTTTGTCAACCAGCGACTAACTGCGGCTGCTGAAGAGATCTTTGAGCTGTTTGAAACAACGATAGCAGAGTACGAGGAGAAACTTGAGTTCAGTTCAAAAGAGAATCACCGACAACGGAAACTACTGGACGCTGTTTACAACCCTGTCCGGTTACACAGAGCAGGTTTGTATAATTTCGTTGTTTTTATTATCACTTAAAACGGCTGGGAAACCAGTTAACATAAGTAAAGACGCTAATACCACTCTGAAAATACTGTGTTCCGACAGCTTTAATTACTCCATGCATCCCCAGATGTGGCGATTTTGAATTTGAATGTTTGCGGGGTTTGTACAAGGTCCTTAAGCTTAGTGCTTAAATTTTGAGGAAGAAACATCAATTACAGGAATACCTTGAAAATAGCTAAATTTTAACAGAGTGTGTTTAAAAAGTCTTTGAACTACAATGAAACTCAATGCTGCCGTATGTTTTGACTAAAGTTTTGTTGATCAGGTCATTTTAATCAAATTGCTGAGATTGCTGACCTTGCCTACTGCAGTACACGCTCTCTCTACTTTCTAGCATTTATGATGTCCTGCCTGACATTGTAGTTTATTTTTTACTACACTCAACTTTTAAAACCCCAATGAAACCAATAGGCCTATGCTGGCATGGCCAAATTAAACATGGCTTAAGTTAAGGCCTGTGTTGTGTTGAAGATTGGTTCCCCTTTGATATGTGTTTCCCCTCCACCTAAACCTGAACCAAACCTGTAGTCTTAAAGTCCCAGACAAACCAAATTGATGTCCAAGAACTAGCGGTAAAGAAGACTGACTATTGCATCACCTCACATTGTCGGTGTCTTGGTCAAAAGGTTGCATGAACACACCACAAAGACTACAGTAAGTAAATACACAACTCTATTGGTTGAGTCAAAGTATAGATACTCCTGATTACATATTACTCCAAGACAAGTGCAGGTTGCTCAATCAAATCATTACTTGAGTTGAAGTACTGAAGTATTTTCCTTTTTAAAAAAAACAATTTAAGTACCTTTTTTTAATCTCAGTGTATTGTTGTGTATTGTCACGATACACTTGCAGAACCTAATGACTCAAACAACCCACTGAATGCATTGACTTGCCTCTAGAACCAAGTCATAATTTGTGAACAACGTTAACTCAACCTCTATTACACAGCATTGGCACACGTGTGAAACAGCTTGAACCCCCAGCAGTTCTCCACCCCTGCTAAACACAGCCTGAGACAAGCCCTGCTTTCCCTTCTTTTGGCGTCTAATGGTTCCCCAGAAGTTCATTGAGGCCAACTGAAAGTCCTTCTCCATAGCCCCCTGAACTTCTCCCACACCTGGGTTTTTGCTTTGGACATTGCCACAGCTGCAGCCCTTCTGGCCAGTCGGCCATTCTACTGCTTTAGAAGACCCCTGGCTCAACCAAGCCTGAAAGGCCTCCTTCAGCCTCATGGCTTCCTTCTCTTAGGTTCTTAGGTTGCTGCCACAACAGTCACTAACGACTTTCTGACCACAACTTTCAGCAGCTGCTTCTAAAATGGAGGCTTTGAACGTGGCCCACTCAGATTCCATGCCCCCACTCTCCCCCGGGATGCATGAAAAATTCTTCCAGAAGTGAGATTAGATCTGATGATTTGAAAAAACCCTCTTGGTTCAGCTGGAAAATGCATCATCAAAAATCTATAAGTAGGGCTGTTTTCCTGAGCTCGTACAGTTGACTTTATAGAGATATGTGGTTCTTACAGGACAGCAACACTACAAACATATGACGATCTTAAAGACTATTATGCATTGCTGTAGAATAAAATATATTTAACGTCTGTATTTTATTATATAGTGGACATGTGGCTGTGTGGCTATGTTTAGGCACAAAACCTACTTTTGTCATGGTTAAGAGATGATAGTATTTTGCCTTAAAAATTCCGGTTTTAGTGCCACAATCTCGGCTGTAAAGTCTGCAGTCTCTCACTAAAAAACAATCACCTTTGTTATTTGTTGGTCTCATACTATTGTCTGCAGCCTGACAGCTGCCTCGCCTAGCTATCACGCCATCCAAAATCCCCTCTAACTCTTGATGACAAAGTCAGCTCATGCAAATGAGATAATAACGTAATTTTAGAAATGTTGATATGAAATGTACATATATATATGGTTTGCAGAAACGTACAATAGCAACATTTATTCTGGGGAGTGGGCTCAATATAAAGGAGTTAAGATTTGCACAAAATTTAAGTCCCTGTATGCAACATTCAGAAAATTAGCACAAAACGGCTATTTGCTATATAAAGATACAGTGGAGCAATAGCATCCTGAGCAGAGAATGAAGTCATGCTACCTCTGTTTGTGTTAAAATTCAGGCTTCTCTATGGATTGTTGTAGCAAGCTGGTCCATCTGCAAGTGTTAGTGCATGTGTGAATCCCACTGGCTAGCTCATATGGAGCTACCGCTGATATAGGGATGGCATCGTCACGAAAGTGTAGCACCCACCAGCTGGTTCCCCCCCAGGTTAACACCATTAGCTCTGTCAGCACTGTTGATGTTGTGTAGTGCTGTTTAAGGTGGAGGTACGGGTAGTGGCTAGCTGCCGACTCAGCCCCTTCCACAAAGAGAACCATGTTCAGACAACTTGTATACTCTGAATTTCACATAGTGCCCCTTTAAAATGTCCTAAAACTGGTGTCCTTCTACTGTCCTGTCTTGTTTTAACTATGCTACAGTGCCCCCAAGATTTCCCGTGGTACTGCTCCAGTTCAGCTATATTCATAAGCTGAATTCATAAGACACACGCACAAGAGATGAACAACATGAATACAGAGTACACACACAGAAGGCTCCCTCCGTGTTTATATTAGTATCTAACATTGAGCATAAATGAGTGATAACACTGTATGCTCATATTCTGAGCTTTATGTTTAAGACTTAAATGGTTCATAGGGGCCGTTCAAAATGACTGACATTTATTTTCAGTTCAAACATCAGACTTACCATCTGCTGCCATTAATTACTGACCAATATTGCCTTATGTTGTAATTGTTTTATGATAGTGAAGCTCAAGTGATCAGTGATGTACATTAAAGGAGCAATAAGCGAAATTCATCATTTCTAGATTGAAGGAATTAAAAAAATTGCTATGTGAAGAACTAGAGGTGTAATTTCATCTGGAGTATAGCATGACCTCACACAACCTCTCTCTGTGTTGATCTCCAGCCCATTGTTTACAAGCCGGTCTGGCTGCGCGTTCATGTACGTTCATGTGAGCCACGGGCTCACGGGCTCACAGGCTCACAGGCTCACAGAGAAGAGTAGGAACGTTAGCGTGGCAGCTGACTAGTGCTAACGCTAACATCCCTACTCTTCTCCGTGAGCCTGGCGGGCTCGTGGGCTCACGGCTCCGGCTCACGGAGAAGAGTAGGGACGTTAGTGTGGCAACCGACTAGTGCTACTGAAATAGCTAAACACAGCAGAGACTGAGAGTGAGTGAAAGACATCACCAACTGCTAAACTAAGCCAAACTAAGTTGGCTGTTAAGGTTTTATTTCCTCGCCCCTGTGGCGAGTGAATCTGCCTGTAGTGAAACCGGAGCTAACCGGTGCTTCCTCCTCAGGCTCCACTTCACTCAGCTGCCAACACAGCCAGTTAGCCTCCGCTAGCTTCCCAGCTAACGTTAGCCCCGGCTCTCCGTTTGGATCCAACCGTAGCACCGAGCCCTGGTTTGTTATTCAGGTTAATGTGGGAAGAAGCAGCGGGTATATCGGGCAGCTGAGTGAAGTGGAGCCTGCGCAAGAAACACCGGGACCGTCTGGATGTACTAGTCCGTGGAGATGCTGCGGTGCTTGGCTGCACAGATGAGGCGAGTGGGGTGGGGGGTGGAGAGCAGAGGTAGAGGGATCATGACACACTTTGTTTTGGTCTACAGGCAGTGCACAACAGCAAACCTAGCGATGAAACGATTTCGCTTTTTGCCCCTTTAATGATGTAGAGTATCTGGTTTGTAACACAATGGCCATGAGTGCCTATATAATGGAACGTTATTATTCCGGTGTGAATAAATGCAAAACAAATTTTAGAGTAATTTTCTCTGTCAGACCTAAACCTGGAAGGGAACGTATGTATGTGCATTTGTACCTGTCTGTCCACAGCTAATCTTGCATAGTACTGGACCAGTCAGCCTAATATTTTGTGGAGACATCTAGTACTGAATAGTCAAGAACTTCTTGTGGTTTTGATGATTCACAGTTGGTATAACACCTGTTTTATAGACAATTTTATACCATTTTCTTAACTAGCCACTGAGGGCCACAAGTTCTCAGAAAACTATGTAGCAAAAGCATAGAGTACAAGGCATTTTTCTAGGCTAAAAACAAGAAGTGTCACTCAGTACGTTTACATGCACAGTTTAATTCCACTTTTAATCGGAATGAAAGGCCATTCCGATTAAAAGTGGTCATGTAAACGGTCATTCCGATTGAAAAACGGTCATTCCGATTGAAAATTAAATCCGATTAAAGGGGGTGGTTTATTCCGTTCGTCATTCCGAATGAAAGAATTTTGTGTGCATGTATACACTCATTCCTCTTTAAGTTCATTCCGGTCTTTCTGCGCATGCTCGTTTCCTTGCCCTTCTGGCGCGATGACGTATATAGCGCGCATAGCAACAGGCTGCATAGTAACGGGCTGAGATAGAGCAGTCGGACTTGTTGCACTTACCGGTTTCCATTCGCCACAGCACGGTCTTCTACCTCCCTTCTTCGACCTTCTATCTCCCTTCTCCTCCTCAACAGATGAAGCATTAGCAGAACAAGGTTGTTGTCGTACTGCTGCTTCAAGAATATAAGCAAAACAAGCCCAAAAAAGGCACTAAGAACGGCGGCGTCAAGCATCTTGTTATCCGGAGCGAGGACTACAGTGTTTTCTTCCGGTAAACGTAAACACGTAACATCCGCCCCGCCCCTATCCAATCAGAAACCTTCCCTGCCCTAAACCTTGCACAGACCTGAATAAAGGCAATTGAACTGATCTCCCATGTAAACCCTCATTCGGAATGAATATTTCCCATGTAAACTACCTGGAAAGACTTTAATTCCGAATGATTTTATTCAGATTTATTTCATTCCGAATGAGAAGCCATCATGTAACCGTAGCCACTGTCTGTTTTGATTCACTAAAATTAGGTCGGATATGATATAAAAGCAAAGCCTGGTTTTTATGTCTTTGCTGCCATTTTGACTGTAACAGAGCTGGGAGGGAAAATTCCACCAGTCCCAGCTGCACCCTGTTTACTGCCCAGAGTCGAAGCTGGAACACGGACACCTGACAGAGATCTGCACTCTACTGCTTTCTAGTTTAGCACTGAATCAATTAGGTGTTTAATAATATAGTCAACTGATGGGAAATATTTGGCAGCTTGATAGTAAACTAATTGTTTAAGTTATTTCATCAAGGAAAAATCCCATATATTATCTGGTTGCAGCTTCTCAAATGTGAGGATTTGTGGCTTTCCTTTATGGCTAACAGAATATCTTTGGGTTTTGGATCATTGACTGGACCAAAAACAAAAAAAAACACAATTTGAAGCAAGGACCAGGGCTATGTGAGATTGTTTTTTGTTGTTTGGAAAAAATAATCGGCACATAAAAAAAATAATAAAAATAGTTGTGCACTAGAATGATTCAAAGGCATAGTTTGTTGTGTTGAAAAGAAAAGTGGCACGATTTCTCACTTTTGACATAAATACATTTGATTATATGTAGATATTTGTTCGTAAGTGTGAAAAGTGTGTAAAGAGATGGCCTTCATTACATGGAGGATCAATTTGTAAATGCACATTCAGTATGATTAATCTTAATTCTTTTAACTTTTTCTTAATTGTCCCCAAAATGAAACTTTGTCAGATAGCTGTTTGTCACTTAGCAGTTTGTAGTATCCAAATATGTTATACAAAATGTGAAGCATTTTTCTGGACATTAAGAAAGAAGTGGTGTCCATGGTTTCAGTGTTAACATGAAATAGCAGTTTTCTAATGAGGGTGTATGTATCACAATATTCTCCACAGAAGTCCAGCAGCCGTTGTTGGTTAAAGAAGAGGTTCCTCCTGAGCAGCAAGAGTGGAGCTCCAGTCTGGACCAGGATGAACCAGAGCCCCCACACATTAAAGAAGAACAGGAGGAACTCTGGAGCAGTCGGGAGGGAGAGCAGCTTCAAGGGCTGGAGGAGGCTGAAATAGAGTTCACAGTCACTCCTGTCCCTGTGAAGAGTGAAGAAGAAGAAGAAGAGAAAGCTCAGTCCTCACAGCTTCATCAAAGACAAACTGAACAGATGGAAACAGCTGATGGAGAGGACTGTGGAGGACCAGAACCAGCCAGGAACTCAGATCCAGATAGTCCTTTACAACCAGATACTGATGACAAGACTTCACACTCTGAAACTGAGACTGATGACAGTAGAGACTGGGAGGACACTCAGAAACCTCAGTCAGGTTTAAACTCTCTGCAAAGCAATGACGCTCATGTACCTGAGAAACCATTTATTTGCTCGGTTTGTGGTGAAAGATTCACACACCATCGTAACCTAAGACGACACTCAAGAGTCCACACAGGGGAAAAACCATTTAGTTGCTCAATTTGTGGTACAAGATTTGCACAGAAGGCAGATCTTAGTCGACACTTGACCATTCACTCAGGGGAGAAACCATATAGTTGTTCAGTTTGTAGCCTAAGATTCACGGACTATGGAAATCGTAGACGACACATGAGAATCCACTCAGGGGAGAAACCGTTTAGCTGTTCAGTTTGTGGGAAAACATTTGCACATAGGGGAGATTTGAGAAGACATTTCATAGTCCACACAGGGGAGAGACCATTTAGTTGTTCAATTTGTGTTAAAAGATTTGCACACAAGGGAGATTTGAGACGACACTTGACTGTTCACACAGGGGAGAAACCATTTAGCTGTTCAGTGTGTGGGAAAAGATTCAATCAAAAGGTAACTCTGAGACGACACTTGACTGTCCACACGGGGGAGAAACCATTTAGTTGCAGTGTTTGCGACAAAAAATTCACTAGGCCCTGTTACTTGAGAAACCACAAGTGTGTTGGCGAGAGCAGCAGTCATAAGTGAAGTTGCAGAGATGCTTGTTAAGCCTTTTTTGTCAGCAGAAATGAAGTACTGAAGACAAGACTTTGTTCAATACTGATCAGCCAGATTTAGTTAGAATTGAAGCTATAGTTGGTAATCCTGTTCAGAAACACTTTTTGTTATACTGGGTGAAATGGTCCTTCCATCCTGAGAGTAGTCAATACATAATATGTTTAGAAAAAGGAACAAAAAAAAATCCGATCTCTGTGGCAGCTGCAGGCCTGTAAAAACTCTGACCAATCCCTGCCTCTCGGTGCGAGTGGAAAGAACCAATCAGATTCCTTCATGTCTCGTCCTTATATATCGCTCTTAGTCTGGGGCCGTTTAGTGGCTGTTTTGGTAAGGAACCGGAGCCAGAGCGAGAGAGACAGGATCCGGAATTCGATGGATGCGCCTTTCTCTCAAAATAAAAGCACCAAGCTAATAAAAATGCGGTGAAACTTTATAATTTACAGAATTTAATTTACAAGAAAAGCCCCAAGCCATTAAGTTAACCTTTTTCTTTTATTGTAAATCCATGGTGCACCAGAATTTAAAGTTTTACTTTGGTGAATTTGGTGAATTCCGGATCCGCTCTCTAGACCGGAACCAGAATCCAGACAAAATTCAGAGTGAATGGAAACCAGGCTCTTCCCCATATGTGAAGAGCCTGGTGACGCGAGGCTATATCGCTCTGGTCCTGCCCACACCCCCCTCTGTCCCTCCCTCCTCCCTGCGTGTAGTCATCATGTGTCACCTTTGCTGGAAATATTCAGCACACTCCTCAGCAGAAATACCAAGTTAGCAGGAGAATAAGTTTGCTGAACAATGGCAGAGAAAATGCAGCCAAAAGTACCACTTCCAGCGTTACTTGTAACGGCTTGCCCCGCTAAACAGGCTAAGAAAAGAAAGTCGGAGACAGAAAAGGCTGCGACGGAAAAGGCTTTGGATAAAGCGACAGGACAAACCAGAGTCAACCAACATCGGTGCAGCTTTTGAACAGTGGAGACAACTGAGGGAGCTGAAGGGCCTGAACAGTGATGCAGAGGTTGCTGTCTTTCTGTTAGACAGGTAATTATTTGTTTGCTTCGGGGGATTAGTTATTTTCATGAAATATGTAACGTTAGCCAACATAGCTACTTTTGTAGCTCGTATTAGCCCAATGCTAACATTAGCTTCTCTGTCAGTGTACTGCAGGATGCGCGTTCAAGTTTGTGGGGGCGTGGCTTTGGACGGAGCACCGACGGAAGGGGGAGGAGGGTGGTGGAGCTTAGAGGAGGTGCCACTTTCAAATCTTGCTAGCTCTCCAACATTACCAACTATAGCTTTAAGGTGCTGACACACCAAACCGAAATCAAAGAACTAGCGGCGACGAAAGCCAACTGTTGCATCGCCTCACATCGCCCTGTGTCAGTTGCATTTGAACACACTACATGGACTACATCCGACGGCCAAGTGGCACATATGTTCTGCACCTGTGTGAGAGAGAGCGGAGTGACTGGTACATCCTGACAGCCGAGGGGTTTCCTATCTGTGTAGCCGAGCACCTCCACGGACTATTACATCCAGACGGTCCCGGTGTTTCCTCCGCAGGCTCCACTTCACCCAGCTGCCCGATAAACCCACTGCGTCTTTCCACTTTAACATGAATAACAAACCAGGGCTTGATGCTCCAGTTGGATCCAATCGAAGAGCCGGGGCTAGCTCAGAGGCTAGCGGAGGCTAACTCGCTGTGCTTCCCTCCGGACATGCTGCGGCTAACGCCCCGCTAGTCACTCCCAGCCAGGCTCTCCGTTTGGATTCTGACTGAGAGCCGGGGCTAGCTGGGAAGCTAGCAGAGGCTAACTGGCCGTGCTTCCCTCCGGTCATGCTGCGGCTAACGCTCCGCTAGCTGCTCCCAGCTAGCTCCGGTTTGTCATTCAGGTTAAAGAGGGAAGAAGCAGCGGGTCTGTGGGCAGCTGAGTGAAGTGGAGCCTGAGGAGGAAGCACCGGTCAGTCCCGGTTTCACAACAGGCAGATTCACTCGCTACAGGGGCGAGAAAATAAAACCTGAACAGCCAATCAGAGTGATCTCTCTAACCAACTAGCTCCGCCGCCGATTCAACATGCTCAATTGGCCGAAAAGCCACCAATGCCAAAGTGCCGACAGTGCGGGACACACCACAAAAACTAGGCCGACAGATGCTCACAGACGGCCCGACTTTGGTCGACAGCCGACTGTCGGTTTGGTGTGTCAGGGCCTTAATACAGACTTAATGGAGCCCAAAGTTCTCTGGCAATGTTTTAAAATTCCGGCGTAGGGCCTTTTAGATAAAAAAATAGATCAGATAGATAAATAATTATCTGTAGATTAGGGGTGCCGTGAAATTTCAGTATTGATGATAACCTTTTTTTAAACCTTTTTTTTTTTTTATTAAACATTTATGTCATGTAATTAAGACACATAATAATATTGTGTAAATAATTCAGCATCTCCTAAATTATTTCTGTTCCTTTCCCATTCTGGCTGTCTCCCTCCCACAACACCATCTGGTTGCCTTTTCACTATCCATAAAGTGTAATTGCTCTTAGAGTTCTTTTTTTCAGTTATGGTAACAGTCTCACTCCTCACCTACCTGTATTTGTATTCTGCGTGTAATTCATTTGATAGAAAATGAGACAAAATGCACAATAAACAAATATAAAAATGCACTTGACTGAAAGTGTTCATTTTTTCTTAAATTTTCTATAGATGTTATTGTTATGGTGAACTCCACAATGTGAAAATCTGATATTGTGCCATCCCTAATGTAGATAATTATACGTCTGTTGAAAACACTCAAGCGTAATTTCTTGTAGTGTAGCAATAACATGGCTGTGTGTGTATGTATACAGCCATTAAGAACTCTGTATTTTTTACCAATAAAGTAGTCCAAAAATAAAAACCTTTTACACAATGTGGCTTAGTGAAATTCAGCTCAGCAATGCACAAGCGCGCTGCCATGAAAAAGCACTGCAGTGAATATTAAATTTGTTTTCATATCACCGTTGTGATCTTTTGGACTGATTTGACATTCTTTTGACAACAGTATTATGCAATCCAGAACAAAGAAACAGGCATTGAAAAGTTTGTACCTTTTAAGTTAACATGAAGACTTGCATGTAGGAATGATTGGAGTTGGTGTCAGCAACTCTGTTTACACAGAGGTGGCGCTAAGGGCCGCTACAAAGTCCTGTCTTTTTGCTGCCTTTGCATTTTTTACAAAGAACCGAATTACTGCAGTATCACAACACTCCAGTGTGGGATTATAGGCCATATTATAGACCAGGGGTATTCAACTAAAATTCAAAGAGGTCCAGTTAGAGAAAATTTCCTTACACAAAGGTCCGGAACATCATAATGTCTAACTTGTGATATGATTTAGTGTGATAAATACTGACGTAGTGTAGTAGTTGTATCAATGTCTGCATGTAATCAACATCTGACTGTCAAATCAAATAAAGAAAGTACGAATCAAAAACATTTCAACAATATTATTGTCACTTAACATTGAACTATTCAGATATGCATTTAAAAATAAAATGGAGAAAATAAATGAAATATTTTTTGAAAAATTGTGCATCTTGAAATAAAGTGCCTAATTTTAGAAAAAATAAAATAAACAGCTTGAATTTTCCTTTTTGTTTGTTAAATGTTTCACATCTTGACTTAACAGTCTCAACCAATTTTACAATAAATAAATAACAATTGAACACTTTTACAGTTTCTCTTTATTTTCCTCTTTTCCCACTCCCTACTTTTTGTTGTTCAGTGAGAGAACTGAGTCCTCCCAGGATTTTAAATCTGGACTGGAATGGTGTCAGGGCCATTCTCATACACATGTACAGGTGCTCATTGGTGAGCCTGGAACGATATTTAGTTTTTATTATGTTCATTGTGGAGAAAGCTGCCTTGCAGCTGTATGTGGAGCCAAACATGGTCAAGATGTACAGGGCTACTTTCCTCAGACCTGGGAAAGCTTCCTCTGTGTTCCTCTCTGTCCCTCGCTCACTCACCTCTTCCTCTCCGTCTTCGCTCCCTGTATCGCTTTCTTTCTTTTTCTATATTACTATCTTACTGTTTTTCTGTCGTCTTTCTGCGTATCACTCGCCTCTCACCTCTCCCATCTGACTGTATACAGAGTCACAATGTTAATCACCTCACCTTGAATGCAGAGATTTGTTTGGCTGGGTGGCATCATGTGGAATGGCTTAACTCGCATGCAATCGGTCTGTGCGTTTCCTGATCAGCTAAACCGATGCCGTAAAGACTAGAAAAGCTGAGCTGGTTAAAATAGGCTAGAAGCGTTCCATCAAAATTTAAAATCCCATAATAATTTACTGGTTATACAGTAGGTCCGGGTCCGTGTAGGACGGTGTCTGGGTCCCGGCTTGGACCACGGTCCGCCTGTTAAGTGACCAAGGGCCTAAATGCTGAACTCGAGGCTTCAAAACGGAGGGTCCACAAACCAATGGATGATGTCACAATATTTTTACTGTCTACCATTTTGTACCACCATGAAGTAGGCAATCTCTAAAATCTACCGTTGGGGGGATTCTTGTGTGTGTACATGGAAATTTCTTTTCATGAAATTTCTTTTTCATGAACTCCCCTTTCTCCATTCTTTCTCCTAGCCCCCAAACACATTTCGGGCACAGTTATTTTTCGTGCTTAGAAGGACAACTTCGGTATTTTTCAACCTGGGCTCTATTTCCCCATGTGTGTGTGCGCGTATGATTCATGGGTACCACTCGTTCTAAAATTGGTTCAGTATTGAGCCGAGAAACGAGCCAAAACGGTAATGGGGGCAAATGCGTCCCGTATAAAAGTGCTTTTTTTCACCACTGACCGGTTCAGATTGCCAGTGCTATCTCTGTAGATAGCATATTGTAGCGGCCCTGGGGCAGTGGTGAGTGTGAATGAGTGGAGTCAGCTGTCAGTCAGTGTTGGAGCAGAGAGGGCGATGGCGTCCCCGCTCAGTATTGTAAATGAGTATGTGTGTGTGAAGTGTGTGTTTTTTCGCCACTGATCGCTTCAGATCACCAGTGCTATCTCTGTAAATAGCATGCTAGCCTTTCCCTTACCTCTGGGCTGTGTGATGTCACGAGCTTGGCTCCACTGTGTCTGTAGCTCTTACTACTCGTGGGACAGCCGTTT